TTTCCTGCCTGATGGAGTCACAGTGAAATTTAAATAAATCCCATTTATTTAATGACAACTCGTTTTCATGTAGGGCAGAGCTAGACACACAGCTACCCTTTTGTTCAAAACCTCCTGTGATTTCCCATCTGACTTAGGGTGGAAGCCACAGTCCTTATCCCACTTACAAGACCTCATGTACGGTCCCCCCTGCTGAGCCTCTGACCTTCCCACTCACCACTCTGCCCTCTGCCTACCCAGCTCCATCCACACTGGGCTCCTTGCTCTTCCTCATATATACCAGTCTCTGCCTCAGGACCTTTGCACTCACTGTTCCTTCTGCCTGAACACCTTTCCCAAAACATTCACATGGCTTGTTCCCTTTTATACTCTGATTATAGAGTATATCACTCTAGCTCCTTATTTTTTCCTTCCTTATTACATTTTATATTTATTTGTTGTATCCCTCCTCCACCAGAACATATGCTCTAAAAGAGGTGAGACTTTGTCACCTTTGTTAATTGCTGAATCCTCAACAGCCCTAGAACATGTCAGGCATTCCTCGAGTGCTCAGTGCACGCATGGCCAGCGGGCCGGCTGGAAGAAGGCTGACCGGCTCACTGAAGCTCCTATTTCAGTGTATGGTAACTGGGCCCCTGCAGGCTAGTCTTCCCACTAGACTGTGAGCCCTCTGAGGGCAGGGATTTTGTTTCAGTCATGGCCGTGTCCCCTGTACCCAGAGCAGGACTTGGCACATTGAAGTGCCCCCTCATCTTTAGTGAGTGAGTGAGTTAAGGGTGTGCGTGTGGTTCCCTCACTTCCCCAGCTCACACAGGGTCACTGTTCAGGTAGCCTCTGTGGGGTTTTTTTCCAGGCAGTGTGCTTTGTACTTTACCTGCCCCTCTACCCAGGGGGCTGGCACTTACCGGGTGCTTAGTAGTCTGCACTCTGTGACGGGCATGGTCAGGCAAAGCCAGACCCCCAGACTGCGCAGCTCTCCGGTGGTCTGGGCCACTCCCGTCCTCCCGGGGACCACTGCAGTTGCTGGCAGAAGGCCCCTTAATTGGGAGCAGGTCAGCACATTACCTGGTGTATAGTGGGTGTCCAGGAAACGTGGGCTTCCTTCCTTTTCTGCCACCTGACCCTCCAGCTTCCTGCTAGTCATCGGCTAGGCCTACTGACTGACCTGTGTACAGCCCTGTGGGGTGCCAGCTGGAATTGGGACCTCCAGGCCAGGCTCACTGTGCATGCTGCTGGCAGGTGTCCTCTCCTGATCTACCCAAGAAACTTGTCATTCTCTTCACATCCAGCCCAATGACCACCTCCTGCAGATCCTTCCCCGGCCTCCGCCCATGGATCCACCTCCTCTTCCCCTCAGTTCCCAGGCCCCTTGCACCAAAGCTGGCCTGCACTGCTGCTCGCCTGTCTTTCCCTCCCTCTGGACCAGGAATTCTCAGAGGGCAGGGCTGGGCCTGAGTGACTGATTCATTTTGGACCTCCCCCCGTCCCCCACTCCTAGCACCGTGTCTGCCACCCAGTAGGAAACTTGTAAATATTGGTTGAACTGAGTTAAATCCTGCCTTTCGAGGTCTGTCTTTGCCCTTGGCATAGAGGAGGCTAGGTCACTAGTACGGTGGAGGAGTCAGAAAATCTTTGCATAGGAGGGGGCATAGTGGTCCCCTCCCTCTGCAGCCTGGGTCCCTGGGTGACCTGGGCCTCCAACTTGGTGTTACTTTATATGAGTAGGAGTTTTAGCAGTAATTTACTCTCCTGGGGGAGCGGGTATCTGAAGGCCCCAGGCCTGTGCACCTCCACTGGGCACCCCTTGTTCATGGCCGACCTTGCATGTGGTGGCATCCTTTCTTTAAAGCACTGCCAGCCTGGCAGTGTTGCTCATGAGATGCCATCTGTTTGCCAGCCCTGGCCTGTCCCTTTACTCTCAACGAAATGAATCTAGAGTGGTCAATACATAGATCCTAGGACAGGAAATTGGGGGAAACATGTTTTTGAACAGGAGCCTTCCCCTAGATCACTCCACAGACACATCTGCCTTTTCTGGGATGTGATCATTCATGGACACCAAGCTTAGGCTCAGTGAGCGGTTCCACCTCTACAGTGCCTTTGAGAAGGGAGGGCAGCAGTGTCTTTCCCAAACTGATGTCGGTAATTGTAGGCCTTGTGATCTCTCAGCCTCACTCTCCCCATCTCTCAAACGTGGGTCCCAGCACGGCCCAGCCGCCAGGGTCATCAGTCAGGATCGGAGAAAATGTGGGCGATGACAGTGATTTCATAAGCCATCACGTGCAGCCTGTTAGAAAGTCTCCCTTCCCTGACACCAGGGAGCCAACTCCTATTCAACCTTCAAAGCCCAACTCAAACATCTCCCCCTTTAAGGAACTTCCTCTTTCTTTGTGCCTCATCCCAGCCTGTTTCTCTTTTTAAGTGTCTACTATGATTTGTTAAGTGTCTACTATGTACCAGGCCCTGAAATGAGTGCCTTCTGTGTATTAATCCTGTTGGTGGGCACTATTTGTAATCTCCGTTTTACACAGCAGGAAACTGCTGCTCAGAGGGGCAGAGTAACCTACTCAGAGATCTGAATCCCCCTCCATAGCCCCTGTGCGTGACTGCGCTGCTGTTTCAGGGTCTCAGTGGTCAGAGAAGTGGATTCATTCCCACTGGGTAAGGAGCCTCCTTCATACTGCCTGGGGTCGAGAATGTTTATTCCGTGGCATGGGATTCAAACTTATCAGGAATCACCACTGAGATGGCTGCAGGCAGCATTTGCTTCTCTGTTAAATCTGCTCAGACCTCGGAGGCCAAGAGAACTGGCTCAGAGATGTGTCTTTGACCCCTGAGATTTTCTGAGAGGACTGCGGGCCCAAGGGGCCCAGGTGGGGAATAAGGCAGGAGCTCCCATGAGGCATGGGCTGGTGTGGGGAGCTTGACCACAGAGGTAAAGAGAGGCTCTTAGCTGCGGAAGACAGGGTCTGATTTGTGGTTTGAAAGACCCTTGTGATGGCCTTGAGGAGGTGGGGGCAGCTAGGCGGCTGGCCCCGGTATGCTGTCTGGGGTGGGCAACACCCCAAGTTGTGTGAAGGGATAGGCTGGAGACCCAGGTCAAAGTGGCAGAGCGTGGCAGCCATGAGCATGGCAGCTGTGGCCTGGCCCTGTGCTGCTAGTGGCCCAGGCCCACAGGGCCTTCTCCCCTCTCATGGCTCCCCTGCCAGGGCTGGCAGTGCTGCATGGTGCTGACTTGTGCACCCTTGTCTTTCCCACCAGAAGAGCAGGGCAAGGATTGGGTCTGACCCCAGGTTCCTTCGAAATAGGACGGATGGCCATGCGATGGCCCCATTGAAGGGATCAGGAGGGACTCCGTGGAGGAGCTAGGCTTTGAGGGATGGTTAGGATTTCGTTCACAGGATGGAGAGGAGCATGACTGCATAGGTGGAAGGAACTGCAAAGGCGAAGACCAGGAGGCAGGAAACCCCAGCAGCCTGTTCTGGCTGGAGGTCGGGCATGGGGTGTGGCTGTGAGAATGAAGAGAGCTTGTGTCACGGACAGGGACACTGAGGATGAGAGACCCGACCGTGGCTCCTACAGAGACCAAGATCTTGGCCGTTGTGTCCATCCCAGGAAACACTTGCAGAGTTTTTGGCAAGAGGGAGGAGCAGTGTTGGATGACACACACTCCCACATTGTTGGACTTGCTCTGAGCCAGACTCTGCACCTGTCATCTCCTAAACCCTCACGACAGCCAGTGCGGCGGGAGTGCCATCAACCCCCCTTTTCCCATCAGGAAGATGACCAAAGCCCAAAGTCACATTGTGTGAAAATGCTGGCCTCACACCCAGGTCTGAGTCCAGAGCCCCAGCCCAAGGCCCTGGCAAGGCAAGCAGACGTGTAGCAAGCACATGCCAAGGGCCTTAGCTCTGTTGAGGTGAGGTGGTGTGAACAGCACTGTTCTGGGAGCCTGAAGACTTGGTGTGGCTCCACCCCTCCCTGAGAAGGACCGACAGGAGGCAGGAGGTTCTGTGGCCTGAGCTCCTTTCTTCCACACTCTCATCTCCTTGGAGCCTCACAGCCACCCTGCCTGTCCCAGGCAACACAGCTTCTCCTGGCTCAGAGTGTGGGCAAGGACGTGACCTTTGTCTGACAAGCTGGGTCCCAGCCCCATTTGCCTTCTCACTGATCAACTGACCTTGGGAAAGATGGATTGCACTTCTTTGTGCCTCATTTTCCTCATCTGTAAAATGAGGTTAGTGACCCCTGCTCCGTGTACCTGATAGGGTTGTTGTGAGGACAATGTGGTCGAACGCAGATGGAAATAAAAAACAAGAAAGTAGAGAATTTTTAGAAGGTATCAATTTGATAAACTTGCTGCCTGTCCAAAATAATTGGGTGTTTTTTTTCACCTTTTTACACCTCGTTGCCAGTGAGGCAGTGAGGATCCACTCAGTCTGCATCTGGCCCTTGCAGGTGCTGTGAGGGGGCCCAGGTACAAAGCGGGAGGGAGGTCCTGCAGTTGTGGGCTGGGCAGTTCCACCTCCCGGCCTTGCCTACAGTCCTCTCGAAGTAATCGTTGGATGGCGCAGGGCATGGAAAGGGTTCATGAGTGGCTGGGACAGAAAGTGCTGGCTAGCTGGGTGGTGGGTGCCCCAGGCTCAGGTTCTGACCCAGGAGAAGGCCCAGCCTGCCCGCCCGGGGCTGTCACTGGGTGGGACCAGCTGACCTCCAGTGGGCTTTCCAGTCCAAACACGGCAGCATGGAGAGGGAGCCAGGCGGGCTGTTTGGATCTGGCTGTGCACTCCCTTCTCCCAGGCAAGTCACCCTAGAGATATCAGACCCCTAGCTGCTCTGCCTGAGCCTCCCTTCTCCGTGAACACCCCCACCTTTGGTTTTCACTCCCTTCCTCTCTGGAGCACATCCCTGTGAGCGGGAGAGAGTGCTTGGTGAGGGGTTGGGGGAGCAGACAGTGACTGGCCCGCTGACTGCCTGATGGACTGTGTTCTGTCCCGCAGAGACTGATGGAGAGGCAGAGGCGGAAGGCGGACATCGAGAAGGGACTGCAGTTCATTCAGTGAGTGTGCGGAGGGCCGGCTGGGCGGGGCTCCTCTGAGGCCATCCGTGGTGCGCATGCGCTCTCCAGCTCTCCTTTTGCTCTCTGAGCCTTTGCTGTACAGGCTCACTGTGCGTTGGGAAGTGAAGAGGTGGGCCAAGCTAGCTAGCAATGGGCTGGCGTGGCAGGGGCCAGAGGTTCCTCTAACTTTGAGCCAGGAACCCTACATGCATACGCTCTCCCTGGCCCTGGTTACCCTTTGGTCTCGTCCAGTGTATCATTTTACCCTCAGCCTCCACGCATGCTCCTACACGCCCTGTTAATTCTCTTGTTTGTCTGTGCATGTCTCACAATAAATCAATCGTCCTTGCTTATTGAGCACGTCTTTCAGGCTCAGTGCTGGGGCCTTCACACCCATCATCTCCCTGATCTTCCCAACAGCCTAGTAAAGTAGGTGGTCTAATCTCCATTTTGTAGATGAGAAAGCTGAGGCTCAGAGAGGTTGAGAATTTGTTCACAGTTACACATAGTGATTAAGTTATGGGATTCTAAGCTGGATCTCACTGACTCTAAACCCCACATTTCTTTACATTATTACCCTCTGTACCTACATGCCATGTTTGTGTTTTCATTTTTTTCTTTACACATGAAATATTTTTACTAACTTTTTTCTGATCTCTTAAATGGACCCTCAGAGGCGTGTTTATCTCTAATAAAGGGTATAAGCTTCAGGCCCCTTCCTTGCACTGGTTCTTTCTGAAGCCCTGAAAAGCTCTCTTGTAATTGTTTCTAATTTCGTGTTCTTTTTCTTAAATAGGACTCCACACAAAACCGGAATTTGCATCCACATCCCCTCATATACTCCCCACTTTTGTTCTCTAACACAGACCTGCAAAACGAAACCTACCTTTTCACCACAAGCTCATCTCTTTCAACACACACACACACACACACACACACACACACACACACACACACACACACATACACATGGGATCCACTCCTCTTTGTATTCACACAACACACTCTCTTTCCTCAGCTTGCAATGCGGTCACTTTTCCTGGTTCAGGCCAGCTCAGAGCTGTGGCCCACCCTTCACTAGGGGTTGGTCTTCCACTGGGGGAGGGAGGGCTTTGATTAGGGCTGAGTGCCCAGGTTTTACTCAGAGGCTGGTCTGGTGAATGGGGTGAGCCTTGGGAATACTGTTTTTCATGAGAATTCTATCTTTAAGTCACTGATTTCTGTGGAGCCAGACCTCTGAACCCCAGACCTAGATCTCATTCCAGTTCCCATGCTTCCTGGTGGTCTCTGTGCCTGTGAAACAGGGATAATGCCACTTCCCTCCCAAGGTCATTGTGCTTGGGGTAGATGTTAACTCTGTGGTCTCCTGTCCCTTTCCAGAGGGGAGTTCTGAGGTTTAGCCACAGGACTCCTAAGGGGCTGCTTCGCAGGATAACACAGCAAGGCCTGCTCCTTTTTCTTTTTTTAATTAATTTATTTTTAAAAATTTTTTAGGGGGTAATTAGATTTTTATTTATTTATCTTTAATGGAGGTAACGGGGATTGAACCCAGGACCTTGTGCATGCTAGGCACATACTCTACCACTGAGCTGTACCCTTCCCCAGATCTGCTCCTTTTAAAATGATTGTTTCCTCACATACAGACTTTGTGTGCTTAGCGAGCATTTATTAGACACCTCTGGGCACAGAGCATTGTAGGATCCATCAAGTGATTTGGACAGGTGGGTGGCTGATTGTGTAGGGCCTTAAACACCAGGATGAGGTGACCTTGAGGACAGTGTGACCTGTTGAAGCTGAAGCTGATGCTGGCAGGGGAGAGGCTGGAGGTGGGGACCGGTCAGGGTAGTGATGGGGGCCTGGGCAGGCCCTGATCTCTGATGGTGGGGACACAAGCGAGAGGGTGGGTGACAGGCCCCACTGTCACTGTCCTCCTGCCACACACACAGGGTGTGACACCTCCGGTGTCTCCTCTCACTGCTTCTCACTCATTAGCTTAGGCTGCTCTTTCCTGCCTAGGTGTTCACGGTGGCTCTGGGCAGCAGAAGGAGCCCCAGCCTTGCACTCTGGCCCTGGCTCTGACCTGCTGTGTCAGACCTTGGGCAAGTCGCTGCCCTCTCGAGTGTCTCTTTTCCCCTCTGTGACATGAGGGACCAGGAGACAAACCCCGGCATCCCTCCCAGCCCTGCCATTTAGCCTCGCAGATGTGCCCCAGTGCTCCCGGGCTGACACTCTCTTCTGTGCTGAGCTGGCCTTTCCTTGGCTGTAGGCAGGAGAGGGTGCCTCAGGGCCGTCTGCTTTGTCGAGTCTGGCACGAGGGGTTAGGTTCTCAGTCCCCAGCGTTGGCTGGGGGTGTGTGTGTGTTTGCGGGAAGGGACAGGAGATGTGCAGAGACCCCACACTAAAGGGCCTCGAGGTGGACTTTGTGCCGCCAGCCAGCCCACAGTTGCAGTTCGGTTTTGTGGGGCTGGAGCTGGTCTGCTCCTTCTCAGCATCTGCGCCTGGAAGAGCCTGCCTGCCAAGCCCAGGGCGAACACAAGCCCTCCTTCCAGCCTCCCATGGGAAACACAGGCCGGCATGGTATTGACTTAGGGAGGAAAAACTGCTGTCTTGTCACCCCAAGTCTGAGATCAGAGCTGGGGGTCCCACTCCAGGCATGCCTCTAACCTGTGGCTCTGGCTCCTGGGTCTCCATGAAGCTGGGAAGCCTGGGCCCACCCAGACCTCAAGTCCTTCTCTTTCCCTGTAGGTCGACACTACCCCTGAAGCAAGAAGAGTATGAGGTGAGTGTCAGCCTCCGGCTGGGGGAAGGAGAAGGGCCAGGGTGTCCAGGGCCAGGGTGGGGCTGGGTGCAGAAGGCCCCCTGACCCCCCGTGCCCTGCCCCCCGCAGGCCTTCCTGCTCAAGCTGGTGCAGAACCTGTTTGCTGAGGGCAACGACCTGTTCCGGGAGAAGGACTACAAGCAGGCCCTGGTGCAGTACATGGAGGGGCTGAACGTGGCCGACTACGCCGCCTCTGACCAGGTGGCCCTGCCCCGCGAGCTGCTGTGCAAGCTGCACGTCAACAGGGCCGCCTGCTACTTCACCATGGTGAGCCCTGCCCGAGGCCCGGCCGAGCCGGCCCGCGCCCCGCGGGCCTCTGTCTCCTCCTGGCAGAGTCTCATCCGCGGCTCCCCAGCTCTCAACCCCAGCTGCACGGCAGACTCGCCTGCAGAGCTCTTAAAGTACTAATACATACTTAGAAATTCTTTTAATGAAGCTGGTGCCCAAGCTCTATCCCAGATGAATTAAGTTAGACTTTCAGGGTGGCCTGGGCATTGGCACGAGTCTGTGGGCGGTCAGGGCCGAGAGCCTCCACCCTTATCGTCTGCTGCCTCCGTCAGCAAACCTCGGACGCTCCTGCTCCTCCCTCCTGGGCTCCTTCCCTCCATCGTACCTTCCTTCTTTCTCTAGACTTCCGGTCTCCTCTTCTCTCCTCCTTAAGGCTCCAGCCTCCTCCTCATCCCTGTCCTCACTCACTGACTCAGTCGTTCACGAGATCCTATGGGAGGCTCTGCTGTGGGCCCTTAGAGGTTCCGGGAACACCTCTGCAATCCAGACTGGACCATTCTGGATAAACGAGTCTACCAGATGCCTGTGCACACTTTGTTCTGTGTGCCAAACCACCTTCATGGTTCCACTTCCTCGAGAGATGCCTTTATCACTTACTCTCAGTCCACGGTGTTCTGAGTGGCCAGGCTCATCACTATAGAATTTGAAGGCCACCCCTGATGTTGGGCCAGTGCCCACTGGCAGCCCCTTCAGCTGGATACACGGATGCCCTTGACTGAGTCTGAACACCAGAGCTGTTTCCCGGAGCTCTTGAGTCCCCTCCCTGACCCCGGGCCTCAGTCCAGGGCAGGAAGAGAGGCCTGGGGGAGGGAGGGAGGGTAACGGGCGCTGACTGGTGGCCGCCTGCTCCTCTCCGGCAGGGCCTGTATGAGAAGGCGCTGGAGGACAGCGAGAAGGCTCTGGGCCTGGACAGCGAGAACATCCGGGCGCTGTTTCGCAAGGCGCGTGCCCTCACCGAGCTGGGGCGCCACAAGGAGGCCTACGCGTGCAGCAGCCGGTGCTCCCTGGCCCTGCCCCACGTGAGTGCGGCTCTGCATCTACACCAGGGGAGTCCAGGCTCCCAGCCCTCACGCTGGCCCTCACTTGGGCTGAGCACCACACCTCTCCGAGCCTGACTTTCCTCCTCTGAGACGTGGAGTTGCAGACACTGATAGTAACACTGAGCTGGGATGCGTGCCAGGCATTGCTAAAAACACATGTGCATTAGCTTACTTAATCCTTGAGACAATCCTTTGAGGTAGAAATGATTATTATCCCCATTTTAAAGAAGAGGAAACTGAGGCATAGAGAGAAAGCAATTTACACAAGATCCCCAGCTAGGTGGTGGCAGACTAAGATTTGAACCCAGGCAATCTGATTCTTAACCTCAGCACACTGAGAGTACAGGGTTGCAGTGAGGACTTAAGGGGGTGCCACATGTGCCGGGTCCTGACGTTCAGGCTGTCCCTAGATGGGGAAGAGACAATGGGAAATAACCAATTGAAGGTCTTGCTTGTCCCAGCCCACACACGGCTGGGCACATGTCCCCTCCCCATGTATTCTTCAACAAGTGTTTACTAAGTGCCCACGCCCAGACCTTTATCTTTCAGGGACACACAGTCCACTAGGAGGCAAATGAGAACAGCCCTGGGGTCTGGACCTGGCTCCACCACTGAGCCCTGGCATGATCTTGGACAAAGCACTTCCCCTCTCTGCACATGAGTTCCACACCTATAAAGTTCCTACTTTCTCTCTGAAATAATGGGTGTAAAAGGGCTTGGAGAAGGGTAAATCCTGCCCAGGAAGGGCTGAGAAGGCTCAGGATTGGTCAGGATCCTGGAGGGCTCCCTGGAGGAGGCAGTGCTTGAGTGGGGCTGGAAGAAACAAGAAGAATTTGGGTGGGCAGAGCAGACAGGAGGCTGTATGCACAGTGATGGGGGAATTCTGTGCCAGAGAACTGGCCTGGGTTTCAGTTTTAATCTTAGGTCTGCCACCTACTAGCTGTGTGACCTTGGACAGGGTTTAGTGGCCTCTGTGGCTTGGTTTGCACCCCTGTAAAGCGGGTGATAACATACCATGCATCGGCGTTGTACTGAGGATGGAACCAGTGAATCGCACAGGGCAATTGTCACAATGGCTGGACACAATAAGTGTTCAGAACATTCACTGTTACTTTACTTCTGGCTTATTATTCTTGCTTCTCCGATTCAGTTTACCTCCCAACTGAGAAGTAGTCCCTGACTTGGACCCCATTCTCCAGTGTCCACAGCAGGTCCATATCCAGGTCTCATAGGACCCGCTCTTGGAAGGGCAGGGTGGCTGTACAGGTCAGGGAGCTGGGACCCACGAGGGCTGGGAACTCCCCTGAGGAAAGTACCCAAACGAGGACTTCTGACGTTGAGTCAGAGAATTCCCCCCCTTTTCCAGGCTTTGTGGGCATACCCTGACTGGGCCCTGCTCTGTGCTGGGCTCCAGGACCAGAGGTGACTCAGACCATGGGCTCCAGGAGTTCATCAGAGAGGTGGGGAGGTGGATGAATGCCCAGGACGCCACAGCATCCACGTTGCCGCTTTGCAGCCCAGACTGCAGTCACCGTTTCTCTGTTTACTGATCGGTTTCCCCACTAGAATGGAGCCTCCATGAGGCCTGGGCCCCATCTTGCTGTGACTGTGGTGTTCCCGGCCCCTCGCTTGTGCCAGGCATGCAGTACACAGTCAGGAGTACAGACCTGAAGGGAGGAAGGAATGCTGGGTGCTGTTGTACAGTCCGTTCCAGGCTTCACACGTCCTCGCTCCTTTGGGCCTGTGCTCCAGCCACATGTCCTCACTTGCAAAAAGTTCCAAGACATTTTTTGGTGAAAGAAGCAAGTTGTAGAACAAACAATAGATATAATAACAGTCCCCTCATATTAAAAAAAAAGAAAGAAAGAAAGAGAAAATCCCCACAAAGCAGAACTAAGTGTCCTTTGTAGTCCATGTGCGTGGACTGTGCAAGTTCCTAGATAAGGTCTGTCGGGAAACACGCAGCCTTGCTGGCTGTGCTCCCTGGGGAGGAGCCCAGGCCAAGGGTGGGGCTGACCCAGGGGAGCACTTGCTTTGTCTCCAACACTTTAGTCCTCTACAGTGACATCGTTACTTACAAATTATGGAAATGAAAAGCTAATGTTAAAATAAAACCCCCTGAATTTTCCTTTCCACTCCCCACAATAAAAGGAAAAAGAGAAGCACGGGTCCCTGTCCCCAGTCCCACCACGTGCTAGCTGTGTGACTTTGGCAGCCAGCGTCCCCTCCCAGGGCCTTGCTCCCTTCTCCGTAACATGGGGTAACTGACTGCAGGTCACTAACAGGGCTGCAAGATGTCCGACCACAGCTTTGGGAGTCAGGACAGACTGACCCACTCTACCCTGTGTCTTGCTTTCCCAGGATGAAAGTGTAACTCAGCTTGGTCAGGAGCTGGCTCAGAAGCTTGGGCTGCGGGTTCGGAAGGCATATAAGAGGCCTCAGGTAATGGGGCTCTGGGCGCTGGGGCCTGGGCAGGGGTGGAGACGGGGAGACCTGAAGAAGGGGGCCAGGCGCCTTCAGGAGAAGTGTGTGGGGGTGGCTGGGGCCAGGCCAGGACAGAGGGTGACGGCAGCTGATCTTCCCCGTCTGTTGGCTGAACGCCCTGAAATGATTTCCAGAACCTTTTGGAAAAGGAAAGAACAGCCAGAGCTTCCAGCTTACCTTAGATGCCAGCTGTTAAATCCCACCCTCCCCGCCCCGGCCTGGCCGACTTCAACACCCTGGTGGCACTGGCGTCCTCCAGCCTTCTGTTCTCAAATAACCCCTGTGGGGCGCATATTTGAAACGCACGTATCTGTTCAGATCCATGTATCTTCATTTGGCTCTTGCTGTGGGCCAGGAAGCTGCACAAAGGAAAGGGTATGGCTCTCGGGTCTCCGCTGTGACCTTGAGCAAGTTAGTTCTTCTCTCTCCACTTTCTTTCCCGCATCTGGGATGTGGGGATAATGGTGCATGCCTCGAGGGTTCATGGAGGATGAAAATGAGATGTTTGGGGCGGTGCCTGGCACAGCGCTGGCACACAGTAGGAGCGTCTCTGTGCAGGTCATCTTCCCTGGTCATGGCTGTAGGAAGAAAACCCCTGAACCTGACCCAGAGAGATGGGGCAGGTGACCCCCCTTGGGCCTGGGCGCAGGGTGCCTTGGAGGGCACCATGGACCCCACCCGCCTGGCTGGGGCTCCTCTGCTGCCCTAGCTGATGGGACCCTGAGCATCTTTGCAGAATCCTCATCTCTTCCCACCTCTCTCCAATCTCTGGCAGGAATTGGAAACCTTCTCTCTGCTCAGTAACGGCACCGCGGCTGGTGTGGCAGATCAGGTAGGATGGGGGCCAGGACCCCGAGCCTCCCTCCCAAGCCCCCCAGGCGCCCCCGCCACCTCAGGACCAACCTGTCTTGGTTCACCCGTCATGAGAGCTTGGGATTCATTCTCTGGGAGGTAAATGACCTAAAGCAGCAGGGCCAGAGGCATCACACTGAAGGATCGGGCTCAATTTACCCCTGTCCCCACTGCTGTAGGCCAGCACCTGCCCTGGGAAGAGGGATGACTGACAGCTTGGGCCTGGACCAGGCTCTCAAGGGCAGCTCTGGGACCCACAGCACCTCCACCTCCCAGAGGGGCCTCTTGTGACCGCAGGGGCGAAGAGTGGAGATGGGCTGTGGCTGCCGGTGGCGGAAGTGGTCACTGCAGGGGAACTGTCAGGGGTAACCCCACTCACAGACCCCTGAGAAAGGAAATGATGGCAGCAGGAAGGGTGGGAGTAAGGAAGGAGTGAAGGAGAAGGAGAAGCAGTTGGGACCAGGCCAGCAGGCCCTGTCCCCCCAGCACACGCATCAGGCCCCCCCACCGCTCACCACGCAGGAACTGCTCAGGTGGACTTTGAGGCTTCCTGGAAGGGGAGGAACAGGCTGTACGAGCGCTGAGGGGGGCTGGTGTCCTGCTGCTTCCTTGTACAAGGGCTGACTGAGGCCCACGAGTGAGGAGGGGACTTGGCTGATATCGCATAGCGAGGCAGCAGCAGGCCTGCCTCCCTCCCTCCAGAGCATTCCAGTACTTTCATTCATTCACTCAACAAACTCTCAGGGCTGAGTTACTTGTGTCCTTGCCCTTGGAGGGTTACCAGGCTGCAAGGGAGGCAAATGTGGATCTGCGTATATAGCACTCATGATGGTTCATAACCCATAATTATTAGGCCTGGCACCTACCGGGTCCTTAAAAAAAAAAATTAAGTGAATGTCTTAGTCTGTTCAGGCTACTGTGATAAAATGCCATGTACTGGGTGATTTATAAAGAAAATAACTTTATTACAGTTCTGGAAACTGGGAAGTCCAAGATCCAGGTGCTAGCAGATTCGGCGTCTGGGGAGGACCCCCCTCCTAGGTCACAGGTGGTCCTCGAGTTGTAATCTCACAGGGCAAGATCACCAGGGCCTGGACCAGGCTCTCAAGGGCATGAGGGCTCCGCCCTTATGACCTAATCGCCTCCCAAAGGCCACCTTCCCCTAGGACCATTATCTTAAGGGTTAGGATTTCAACATATGAATTTTGGAGGGATGAGCATTCAGACCATAGCAGTGAGTGAATGAATGCACAGCTGCAAATAATTTCAGAACACCTGGAGGGAGGTACTATTTACCCACTATTACAAAGGAGAAACTGAGGCACAGAGGAATTAGGTGACTTGTCTGAGTTCATCCAGTGTGTGCCGGGCCCTGAGTTGGGGTCTGGGTATGTGCTGAACAAGACATACATGGCCCCTACCCTCAAAAAGCTCACAGTCCACTCCACAGTCTGATTCCAGCCTCCCTGTCCATCCTCACCATCTTTTCCTCACCCACCAGACGTGTGTGCACCCATCCCCTTGGCTCTACCGTGAGCTCCCCTGGGACACACACAGCAGGTGCACTGAAAATATTTGTTGAGTGACTAAATGACTGTGGCCAAAGGGCCACAGCAGATGTGGGTGGAATGCCCAGCTCCACAAAGGCCAACCTTTGGTGTCTACTGAATCTGCAGCCAGAGGACCACCCCAGCCCCTGCCAAACCAGTCACCCATCCCTGCAACCTTGCTGGGGGCCCCACTACCTGCACAGAGGCCAGGGCAGTTCACAAGGATGAGGGTCTGTGAGAAGCCCACACAGAGTAGACTCCACGGTGGAGAGGACAGGTCAGACCCTGCCTCAGTGCACTAGCATGGTGCTGCGTGTGTGTACACATGTGCATGCATGCAGACATACCCGCATCCAGCACACACTCCCACACCCACATATCCCCTCCCACACATACATAGTGGCCTAAGGACACACAGGGGACAGGAGGACAGGGGAAGTGTCCCAGCCAGATCCCCTGATCGTCTTTAAGTTATATACAGACACTGCGTGTGGGCCTGGCTGCTGGGATCCCTGCAGGGTTCCCCATGTGGAAGTACCAAGATATCCACATGCATGCCTGGGAGTGGAGACTGCACGAGCTGTGCCCATGAGGAGCTTCTAACGACCTGGGAGACAGGCATGGCCCTGCGGGTGTGGCGTCTGAGCCACGGCTGCCACTTGGCAACAGGGGGAGCAAGATGCCAGGAGGGCTGTGAGTTCTAGGAAGACAGAGCCTGAGGCAGCCTTGGCCTCTTGCTCTCCTTGGACTTCATAGAGCTGGAGTGGCAGGATTCAGGCAGGTGGAGAGGAGGGAACAGCTCCCAAGGCCAGGGGAGAGTGAAGGCTTGAGCAAAGGCCTAGAGGCAGGTGGGGAAATACCCACCACAGCCCAGAGCTGGACACAAGCCAGGCAAGTCCACTCGGACGGAACGTGGAGGCTGATGAATGAGGACACCCGTTCCCTGCAGCCAACCTCCTGATGACTTAGATTAAAATCTGATGTTGCACATTTAACAAACACATAAAGCACTTCCTCTGTGTCAGGCCCTGTTCTAAGCTCTGTACAAATTTCAAGTGATTTCATCCTTTTAACAGTCTGAGGAGGTGGATGACTGTATCATCCTTACCTTACTAGTAAGGAAACGGGCCCAGAGAGGACGGGGAACTTGGCAAGGCCACAGAGCAAGCTCAGAAGGTCCGAGGGTGGCACTGGGATCCCACCTGGGCTGATTTAGCCTGGGGCTGTAATGAGGGAGGGACATTGGTGATTCAGGAGTGGCACTTTTGTCTTTGAGCTGCAGACTATCCAGGCCTGGCATGTGTGTAGAGGGCTGGGTACCTTCCCAAGGTATGGGCCCTGTCCTGTGATGGGTGAGGAAGCTGGACCCAGAGGTCGTATCCCTTCCCCTGAGGGCACTCCCTCGGGGGCGACATGAGGCTGGTCTAACTCCCCCTCCCCCTGCCTCCTTGGTTAGCATCAGCGTCAGTCGCTTGGGGAGGGGCCTCGAGTGCTGGGCACCACGGCTCTGAGTCTGCCTGATCCACCCTGTCCTTCCTCTCCACAGGGAACTTCCAATGGATTGGGGTCCATAGATGACATCGAAACAGGTAGTATGCCTGGTGCACCGGGGTTGGGTGGAGACCCTGTACCGGGGTAGGCGTCAGAGGAGTCAAGTCCCTCCCCTCCCAGCCCTGTAGACAGGGACTCCTGAGGGCTCCCTGCCCCGACTACCTGAACATGAGAGAAGACAGTGAGTTCAGGAAAACAGACCCCACCCTACCTCGGACAGGGGAGAGCATCTCTCCAGCCTGAGAGGTGGGGGGACCCTATCCTCCAACTAGGAATCCCACCTTTTTCAAAGTCCACTCTCCCTTTTCCCACTGACTTCCAGGAAGGGTCACATTCCATTTGATTATTTTTTAGTTTTTGAGGGGGAGGTAGTTAGGTTTGCTTATTTATTTACTTATTTTTGGAGGAGAACTGGGGATCGAACCCAAGACCCTGGGTGTGCTAAGCATGTGCTCTGCCCCTTGAGCTACACCCTCCCCTCCTGGAGGGGCCACATTTTAAAAGTGTCAGAGAGGGCATTGCTTCCCCCAGAGGCAGGACATTCAGGCCCTGACCAGGCCCATCAGGGAGACACTGGAGGAGCCCCTCCCGCTCCATGGCATCCCTTCTTCACTAGCTGAGCCTCCCCCGATGGGGCAAGGCCAGCAGGGCTCCTGGTGGGAGGTGGGGAAAGGAGGGATGGTGTTGGATGAGGACCCCCAGGGCCCTGGGACCACCAACCCCACTCCTGCCAAGCAGGACCCCTACCAGCTACTGAGCCCCACCCCATCCACAGATTGCTACGTGGACCTGCGAGGCTCCCCGGCCCCCCTCCTCTCTACCCCTACGATGCCCCTCTTCCCTCACGTTCTGGACCTATTGGCCCCCCTGGACAGCAGCAGCAGGGCCCTCCCCGGCACTGACAGCCTGGATGACTTCTCCGATGGGGACGTCTTTGGTCCGGAGCTGGACACCCTCCTAGACTCGCTGGTGAGCCATGCTGTGCCCTCCTGTTCCTCTGAGCCCTTCTCCCACCTAGGACCCCATCACAATCATCCTCATGTCCCATGTGGGGTGAAAGGAAGGCCCTATCTCCCTGTCACAGCTGGGGAAACGGAGGCCTCAGGAGGGAAAGGGACTTGCTCTGGGTAGAAACAAGACGGAGCAGAACCTGCATCCAGAAGGGATGGAAGATCCCTGGCTCCACCTCTTCACCCAGTGGGACAGGTTGGCGCCCAGACACAGAGGGGTCAGCTAGCTTCGGGCCTGCAGTGCCTAGGGTTCTGCCCAGGCCTGAGTGGTCCAGTTATCCTCCGACCCCTCCCTCTGTTCCCACCTCACAGTCTCTGATGCAGGGTGGCCTGCCTGGCAGCGGTGTGCCCAGTGAGTTGCCCCAGCTGATACCCGTGTTTCCTGGCGGGACCCCGCTGCTGCCACCTGTGGTGGGCGGCTCCATCCCCGTCTCCAGCCCATTGCCCCCTGCCTCCTTCGGCCTCGTCATGGACCCCTCCAAGAAGCTGGCTGCCTCTGTGCTGGATGCCCTCGACCCTCCAGGCTCGGCTCTGGACTCCCTGGACCTGCTTCCATACTCAGAGACCCGGCTGGACGCCCTTGACAGCTTCGGGTCGACCCGTGGCTCCCTGGACAAGCCCAGCTCCTTCATGGGTGAGTCCTGGGTGGGCACGCTCCTTTCCAGTTTCTGGAGAGTGGAGTTGGAATTACAGTTTTGTTTTGCCTCATGGTCTAGGGCCACGTCTTCTGAGTTTGTGTCTCCTGCAGCGCTCCGAACAGTGTGGGACTGAGGCCTAAGGGGTCAAACAGCAGAGCTGAGATAGTTTAGGACTCCAGACTTGCATTCTGGTGTTCTCCGCCCAGCTTCCTGGGGCCCTGGGGTCGCCAGACTGGTGGGACCCCACGGGGATGATCCTGAGGCTGGGGGAAGGGTGCAAGGCCGTGGGCTCCTTCAGCACCACTCTGAGCTAGAGCGCTGGAGAGGAAACACACCTTGTGGGACTGGCTTTCTAACCGTTGGACTTAGGCCAGGGCACTCACTGCCAAGGAGAGCTCACAGAGCTGCAGGGGCACAGACGGGCTGCACAGAGACATCCTGGAGCCGTGATGGCAGAGCTGTCTCCGGGTCTCGAAGGAGGAGGTCATCTGCTGGCAGAGGCCACAGCGCCACACAGGCCTGATGACGCAGGGACTGGCAGACAAGCAGAGGGGAGGGCAGGTTGGGAGCCTTGAAGGCCTGAGGCTGGTCTCAGAGGGCCCATGAGCCTAGCTGAGAAGCTCGAACTTTCTCCTAAGGACCACGGGGCCAAGGAAGGTGTAAGCACAGGGTGGACATGCTCAGGCTAGGATGCTTCTATGTCCCTGGGCAGTGGCCTGAATAGTAGAGGATGTGTGCCCTGGATGGCTTCCCCAAGTTAAAAATACTTTAAGAGAAAGTCCTTGGGGGGCCCCTCATGCCCTTCAGAGCAGGTGGGTGACCCCTGTGTCTTCTGACCCAGAGGAAACCAACTCCCAGGACCACCGTCCCCCGAGCGGCACTCAGAAGCCCGCCCCCTCGGTGAGTGATGCGGCGAGGATTGGTGACCAGGTACCTCGTGCTCTCTGGGGTGTGGGGGAAAGTGGCTGTGGGCTCCAGCGTGAGGGGTGAGCCCTCAGCATGGGATAGGTGCTGCATGCCCCAGGGGGCCAAGGAGGGGCACCCTCAGAACAGATGGGCCAGAGGTGGGCTCTTCCTTCCAAACCCTTCCTAGTCCAACCGTGTGCTGGGAGGGCAAGCAGAGGGCACTGCCACCCTTGTCTGTCCAAAGAGGACATCGGGGCTCAGAGAGGTTAAGTAACTTCCCCAGGGTCCGTAACATCTCTGCTCTCGGGACTCGGCCAGGGTTGAGTTCAGGACAGCAGTTGACCAGGACTTAGATGGCCTGCACTCTGGCCTCAGCCTAGACACAGCTGTGTGGCCCTGGGGACGTCACCCAACCTCTCCGAGTTTTGCCTTGGTGGCTCGGGAGAGAGGACAGGCAGACGAGCCTGTACAGGGCCACTGCTGTTCCTCTGCTTCCATGTTGGGCTTTCACTCAAGGAAAGGTCCTGGGCCAAGGTCACTGTCATCCATGCACCCCTATTACGGCAGTCTAGTCCTGCTGGGTTCTTGGATCATGTTAGAAGGAGCTCCCCGGCTGGGAGGGTAGAGGAAGAGGGAGGGTCCTGTGCTGCAGTTCTGCTCATGGGTGGGATTAGGGGGTGTCACAGTGCCCACACCTCTGGTGCCCAGGCTGGCCCCAGTGGTCCAGCCCCCAAATGGCCAGCCTCCTCCTATCACAGCCAGAGCCTTCCATGCCTAACACCGCCTTGCTCATCAAGAACCCTTTGGCTGCCACCCACGAGTTCAAGCAGGCCTGCCAGCTCTGCTACCCCAAAACAGGTAATGTCCCTCCTTTATCCACCCTCTGCCCAGAAATGCCCAGAATCGCAGAAGCGTAAAATTCCAGAATGACAGAATCCTACTGGACCAGTCAGAGATGAATGTGGAAAGACAGAAGCCCCTCCAGCTATTTCCAGCAGACAGGGATGTAACGTGGGAGTCGGGGACTTTCAAAACTGCTGGAAAGGCAGGAGGCGCGGAAGCCAGGAGTCTCACTGGGCCTTTAGGCTACTTCTCCACAAGCTGAGGACCAGAAGTCGGGCTGTGCTGCTCTCACACGGAGCTCTAGAGGCTGCCCGAATTGCTGGCCAGTGTCACAACCACCCTGCAGCTCAGAGGCTGGTGCCTGGCTGTGGAACCAGAGTCCAGCTGGCATCTGCCAAAAGAAATGCAGCCCCCTCCCCTCCCCACGCTCCACTAACCGTCCACCTCTCGCTGGGTGACGTGAAGCCTTGCCTAGAACCCAGGTGGCGAGGGAGTCTAGGAAGTATAGTTCCTAGACTCCTGGCCCCTAAAACCAAGGGAGACTGTAGAAGCAGTTCAGAATAGAGGCCCAATGTTGGTGGACAATTTAAGCACACCTTGAATTTCAGAATTCTAGACGCTAAGACTCATGGCGTTTTATTTGCCAGAATCCCACAGTCCTGACATTTTAGAATTAATAATCTCTTGGTATCTCAGGGTTAAAAATCTTACCAGTCTAGAATTCTCCATCTCAGAGGTGTTGGAATTGACAGGACCTCAGAGGTCGTCTAGTTGCTGCCGTCCACCCGCTGCAGGACTTTTCCCCCCCGTCTCCTCAGCAGTCATCCTACCAAAGCCTGTGGCCCTGCGGGGATGGGGAGCAAAACGCTGTCTTGCTGGTTGGCTGTGCCCATGAGAATTCTTCCTTGCATGGACCTCAGCCTGCCTCCCTGGTCCGCACACCCACTGCTCGCTGCCCCTGCGCTGGGGGAGCAGACTGACGCCCCACGAGCTGGTGCACACCCGGTGCTGGCCCAGCCAGATCACATGGGGTCCCCACAAGGCCATTTCCTCTTGGTTGTTTTGAGGAGACCCCCCACCCCATTGTTGGGAGAGGAAGCCCTTGGTCAGAAGATTTGAGAGGACCAGGGAAGAGGAAAAGGAGGGGGAGAGGAGGACTCTGGCAGAGGAGGAATCTTTCCAGGGCAGAAGGGAGGGAGGGGCCTGGTCTCTACCAGGCACTCTCTTCATAATTTGTTCTAGGGAAACACTGAGGTGGTCAGGCTCCCTGGAGAATCAGGGTGGTGGTAGAAAGTGGGTGGGTGCTGGAAGGGGCTCCCTGGAGGGCGTCTCCTCAGCCTGAGGCCCCCATCTCCAGGGAGCCTGTGGCACGGAAGGGGTGGCAGGAACGGGCGGGAGGCCCAGGGGAAGGAGGTGGGTTTTTCAGGTCTGGGGGCTAATTCCCACTGCTTGGGCATCAGCCGTCCCCTTCAGTTCCGCTTCCAGAACCACAGCCCCTGTCCTCCCTGCCCGGCAGGCCCCAGGGCGGGTGACTACACCTACCGCGAGGGCCTTGAGCACAAGTGCAAGCGGGACATCCTGCTCGGCCGCCTCCGGAGCTCCGAGGACCAGACCTGGAAGCGGATCCGGCCGCGGCCCACCAAGACCAGCTTCGTGGGCTCCTACTACCTGTGCAAAGGTGGGTGGGCCTGGCTCCTCACGCCCAGCCGCCACTGCTCCTCATCACAGGCAGCGGCGGTAGTCCATGGAGGATGGACCGAACATCAGAACGAGCAGCGCGTGCCCTGACCAGCCCCCCGGACAGGCGGGAGCATCCAGTGTTTCTCTGGAGCTGGAGCCCGCCGGGCCTGCACCCCCGGGTGGCAGGGTCAGACAGTTCACGCACAGCTAGTTTCTGTTGCACTGCAGGGTCCCAAAGGGCTGTTGGAAGGAGGTGGAGAGTCCGTGTAAAGTGCTGGGGACTGGCACGTAGTCAGGGCTTGATGAATATTAGCATTTAAAAGTGAGTATGTTGTGTCGTTGTCCTCACCTCTGGGCTCACGTCAGTTTGGTTAACATGGACGTCTGTCAAGTACCCCATTTGCTCTCTTCTGTTCCCCAATCAAGCGTCTCAGTGCCGTCTACATGGCAAGACGTGAACAGTCTTGATGTTTGAAGTGCTTTATAGCATCCCCTTTTGTCATCACACATCCTCACAACAACTCTGGGTGAGGAAACAGGCTCTGGGAGCCCGCTCCAGGCTCCAGCTTTATCCCACAACCAGCCCGTGACAGGAGCTCCTCCTGGCTTTCTGGATCAGCTCGTTGTCTTCCCAGCTGGATCTTAAAGATTTGTCATTTCTGAGCACAAAGGCCTCCGCCAGCCTTGCCCTGGCCGTTGTGGATGAAGTCCCAATTCTGCGAGGCCTACGCGTCCCCCATCTGCCCCAGCCATTCCCCAAATACGCTGAACCCTGGCTGACTCCTTGCACATGCTGTGCCCGAGGAACTTGGTCATCCTCTGTTCCTCCTTTGAGCAGCCCCTGGATCTTGGGAAGCCCTTCCCTGCAGGGCTTCCCCCTGGGTGCAGAGCTGGTTACAACGCAGAGCTGTCTATGGGGTCACCCAGCCGTGTGCCTGCAGGCCTGGTGGCAGGATGGGACGGGGCCAACTTAGGAAGACTGTGAGGCAGGGAGAGAAAGAAAGAGGAACAGTTCCCACCCTCAGGAAATGGCCGGTCTCTGGGCAGCGAGCCTGCTGCCCTCCCAACTCCCTGGCCCCCTGGAGTTTTATCTGTTATTTCTCTTCATCCCCACGACAGCCCATGTCCTCCCTTCATGGACAGACAGCTGAGACTCAGGAGTAACAAAGATTCCCAGCCCAAGTCTGCCAGACTCCAAGGTGCATGCCTTCCGCCACCAGTGGCAGTTTCACACCCCTCGTGTTTATGTAGAGGCTCCACAGAGCCCTTTCCATGCCCGTCCTCTCGCCTGACCCACACACGGCAGCCTGTGGGGTGCTGGGGCCGGGATGGCCGCCGTGCTTTGCGCATGAAGACTCAGGAACCCCCCGCACCTAGGTGTAGAGCAGAGGAGGGGCCTGGCCTGGGAAGGGCTTTCCCTGAGCTCTGCCACCATCCCCCGTTCAAGTCCTCGTGTCGGCCAGCCCCACCGCACACTCCGCCGAGCCCGGGCCCCGCCAGGTAGTCACCGGCCACAGTGGTGGTCATCAGGGCGCTGCCGGCTGCCGTCCTGCCTGGCGGAACGTGTGTCCTGTTGCCTCTTTGCAGACATGATTAACAAGCAGGACTGTAAGTACGGGGATAACTGCACCTTCGCCTACCATCAGGAGGAGATCGACGTGTGGACGGAGGAGCGGAAGGGCACCCTCAACCGCGACCTGCTCTTCGACCCGCTGGGGGGCGTAAAGCGCGGCAGCCTCACCATCGCCAAGCTCCTCAAGGAGCACCAGGGCATCTTCACTTTCCTCTGTGAGGTACCTGCTGCCTGCCCGCCCACTGGCCCCTCCACGCTCGCTGCACAGACAGAGTTGGGAGGGGCTCCCGGCGCGCTCCGCCATGGACTGGCAGCCCCGGAGCCCACGGGTTCTGGGGGCCTGACCTCAGAATCAGTAGGTCCTTGGACTGTCAGTTAGGCCCGTAGGAGCCTATCACACTAGAGCCCAGATCCTACCCAGCCCCCTCGTTTTGCAGAGGTAGAAACTGGGGCCAGACAGAGAAATAACCACACCTGCTCTTTCCTTGCGGCCGTCATAGACTCAGGTGCTCTAAGTCCTCCTCATCCTCCCCACGCCTCCTCGTCCAGCTGAGCTGGCTTCAATGCCCGCTGTGCCTTCCTGCCCCCTTTCCTGCCTGTGTCCAGCCTGAGCCCTCTCTCTGGAGTGCCCTCCCCATTTGTGCGTCTTGGACCCTCTGAGGCTCAGCTCTGAGCCCAGCAGCTCCGCCAAGCTATTCATTTCCTCCCAGGAGCTGTCACAGAAGACCGTGCTGGCCTCCTGTCTCCCCACCCACCCAGCCCTAGTGTGACGGGACAGGGACAGCATCAGGTCTGTCTCCATGAAGTGAGAGCCGGGGGTCCAGGCTGTTGGCAGAGTTCAGTACCACTCGGCCAACCTTGATCCACCACACAGCCAGCCCTTCCCTCCGACTCTTAGAGCAGGTGGGCTGCCCATTCCCTTCAGGGAGTCGCGGCTCACAGCCAGATGGCTGCATGTACTTTACAAAGCAGTTCTGTTACATCCTTTTCTAGCTTCACAGTGAACCTGGGGAACAGAGCAGGTGTGGTTTTCCCCAGGCTACAGGTGAGGAAACTGAGGCTAAGAGATACGGAGTAACCCCCTGCCCAGGCATTTGGAGTGATGGGATCAGAGAGGGAAGGCCACAGACCCTGGGATTCCCTTCCTCACTCCCCTGACTCAGGGCAGGGCTTGCAAGGACCCAGTCTGTCCCTCCTGGATGGCCATGCTGGGTCCCAGCCCACTCTCTCCCCGGGCAGATCTGCTTTGACAGTAAACCTCGGATCATCAGCAAAGGCACCAAGGACTCTCCGTCTGTCTGCTCCAACCTGGCTGCCAAGCACAGCTTCTACAACAACAAGTGAGTGGGACCCATACCTGGGCCAGGCCCAGGGTGGTAGCAGGTAGAGAGTCCCCCAGGGGTCCCCCAGCTCAGATGCCTGGGGAGCAGCTGAGGCCAGATGGTGGGCCTTGGGTGTCAAGGCCAGAGGCAGGATTTGGGACTCAGATCCAGCATCCACCTAGAAAGGACAGAACTACGTTTATTGAGTATCTGCTATATTCCACGCATTCTCTTGGATGCTGTAATAATTTCTGCAGTCCTGTGAGGGAAGAGTTAGTATCTCTGATGTACAGATGAGAAAGCTGAGGCTTGGAAGCAGCTTACTTAGCAGACAGGTGGGGCCACATCCCTGACTCCCTTCCAGTGCCTCCACTGACGTGACACGGGCGACTGACAGTCAGTGGGAGGGGCCTGAGTGGGGCCTGGCACCCGCCTTTGCTCCTTCTGACTCCCCTTGGCTGTGCTCTGGCATGGATGATGGAGCCCAGTTCCTGGCGTCAGACAGGCCTGGGTCTAAATCCCAGCCTGGACAATGGCCTGTTTTATGTCCTCTGGCACTGTGACCTTTGGCTTCCTCATCTGTAAAGTCGACGATGATCACAATCTCCTAGAGTTTCTGTGAAGGTAATTAAGGCTCCCAGCCCAGAGGAGGTGCTCGATTATTACTCCTCTGGGTGCAGGACCAGCTCTGGGCCATTGAGCTAGGGAACCTGAGGTTCCCTAGCTTGCACCCCTCCTTGCAGCCTCATAGCTGGTGGAATCTGGTGCCCTCCTCCTATGGGCAGCTCCATCTTTGAGCTGTCCCCCAACTGAGGCCAGGGCAGTGGCATACGGCTGAGACTCACACCAGAACTGAGTGCAGGACCCCCACCTCTTCCCTCCTGTGCTGCTGTGTTCTGGAGACGGTTAATAGGGCAAGAGGCACCCAAGGAGGAGCCCTACTGGGAATGGGGGGTAGGGGCTGCAGACTGCATCATTGTTGTCCCCGCCCCGCCAGGTGCCTGGTGCACATCGTCCGCTCCACCTCCCTCAAGTACTCCAAGGTCCGCCAGTTCCAGGAGCACTTCCAGTTCGACGTGTGCCGCCACGAGGTGCGCTACGGCTGCCTGCGGGAGGACAGCTGCCACTTCGCCCACAGCTTCATCGAGCTCAAGGTTTGGCTGCTACAGCAGTACTCAGGTGAGGGGCAGAGGGCCGGGGGCCGCCCATGGCCGGCAGTGCAGGGGGCTTCTACAGTTCAGAGGAGGGCAGTTACTTGGGGGGCGACTGCAGAGCAGCCACAGAGGATGCAACGGCTCTGCTCTCTGGGAGCTTCCAGGCTCTAAAGATCCTGGCTGTGTCCCTGTCCAGGCAGTGCCGGGGGACCATGCGTGGAGAAGGCGGGGAGGCAGAGCCCGGCCCTGTTCCGCCAGCTCCCAGGGTGGTCTGGTCTCAGCACTGCCCTCCCTGAGCCTCCACTGCTCCCCTGTGAGGTGGTGGCCATGATCTCTGCCTCAGAGCCCAGGAGGTTGAAAGCTGATCACTCGCTCACTCACTTGCTCATCTGAGGGGGATTCGTTGAGCACATGCTTTGTCAGGAGCTCGAGCGAGAACAAGGTCCCAGCTCCCAGAGCACTGGGGTCTGTATGTGAGGGCAAGGCAGACAGCCCAACAGGTAGGCAGTGGATCCTGTATTCTATCTGCTCCCAGAGGCACACTGTCCCCTGCTGTGTGTGATGATTTATTTAGCAGCATGTGTGTGTGTGTGTGTAACAGAAAATAATGGTGCGTCTAACAATTGTTGTCTTCTTAGAGTTGACGACATAGGGTGACATAATTTCCGATGTGCCTCAGTGTCATGTGGAGAGTAAAGCAGAGCAATAGGATGGATAGGGACTTGGGGAGGGGGCGTCTTGGATAAGATGGTCTGGGAAGGCCTCTCCAAGGAGGTGGCATTTAAGCAAGGAAGGGCAGGGAGAGCTTGCAGGCAGAGGGAACAGCAAGGCTGCAGGCTCTGAGGCAGGAGCCATCTTAGTACAGAAGGGCCATCTGTGAGGCCAGAGCAGCTCAGGGCTGAGTTGGCAGGGGGCAGGTCTGGGGTCAGATGAGGCCTGAGAGGTGGGCAGGGACCCGAGCATGTAAAAGTCTCTAGATTGTTACTAGAAATGGTTGAGATTGTTCTAAATAGGATGTGCAGGATTTAGGGGGTGTAAGCAGATGGAGTTGTATGACCTGATCTATGTTTTTAAGAAGTCACTCTGGCTGCTGGATGGAGAACAGAGGGGCCAAGGGCAGATGGAGGGAGGCCCGGGAGGGTGGACTCAGGCCAGGGTGGCAGTGGTGGAGGTGGTAAGGGTGATCAGAAGTTGGGTGTTTTGATGGTGGAGCCAACAAGAGTTGTTGATGGACCAGATGTGAAGTAGGAGGTGAAGAACGACCTAAGTCGCCTCCAGAGGGGTTGCCATGTCTGAGGAGGGGGTGCTGCAGGAGGAGCAGGTTGGGAGTCTCACATCAGGGCTCCATGTGGCACGTGGGGTGTTTGAGATTCCTGTTGGATTGCAAGTGGAGATGTGGAGCAGGCAGCCAGATGTGGGGGTGTGGAAGTTCATGGGCGAAGTCTGGGCTGGGATGTATATTTGAGAAGCAAGAAAGCACAGTAAGCCCCTGATGGCGAGTGGCCATGGCGGAGTGCCATCCGTGGGACCAGGTCGAAAATGAAATTAGGTCTGGGAAAGGGACCAGAAAGCCAGAGGGGGTTGGGAGGGGGCAGGCCTCATGGAAGAGGCTTTAAGCTGTACCTCAGAGGTGGGCTCAGCGTCAACAGTCAGATTGGGGGGGTCTGGGCCACCAGGCTCGGGTGTTTGCCCTTTGTCGGCTGGCAGTGAAGAGCCCTGGCCCCTCAGTGAGCTGGTGAGCCAGGCTGGGCCAGGCACAGAGCCCTAAGACGTGAGGACCCATTAAAAGAGACGGGGGCCAAGGAATGGTGCTGAGCAGCTGGCCCGAGAGACGGGGACACTGGCGGGAGTGCAGGGAGTCCCCCTGCCAGGCTGCAGAGCCAGCATCTTGCTCCTCCGTTCCCCACTCCTGGCTGCATGTCATCCTCTCTGTCCCTGTGAGGGCCTGGAGCAGGCCTCCGTTCCCAACTGCAGATGCCCTCATGGGCTCAGAGAAGATGAATGGTTTGTTTCCCTGCTCCCCACTCTTTCCGTGGCCTGACGGGGAGTGGTGCCCCTCCGCCTGGGCCTGGGGTGGCACCAGCACCTCACAGATCCCCTGCCTTTCTCCTCACCAAGCTCCAGGGATGCCCGTGTCTACTTCCCCCTCCCCAGGCATGACCCACGAAGATATTGTCCAGGAATCCAAGAAGTACTGGCAGCAGATGGAGGCCCACGCAGGGAAGGCCAGCAGCAGCTTGGTAAGAGCCCAGGTTGGCACTGGGGGTGGAATCAGCCCCCACCAAGACCAACCCCCATCCGTTTACTTGGATATAATTTATTTACCAGAAAATTGTGAGACTAGGACAAAGGGTGTATACCCTTCTCTGGATTCCCCAGATGCTAACATTTTACTGCTTCCCACACTCTGTCCTGTGTGTGTGTGTGTATGTACATATATACGTACACATTTATTTACAGAAATTTAGACTTTTTGAACCATTAGAGAGTAAGTTGTAGATGTGATGTCCCATTACCCCTAAATACTTCAGTATGTATTTCCTATAAGTAAAGACACTGTCTTACATAATAACCACGGTACAGTTGTTAGCATCACAACATTCACATTGGTGTCATTGTCCAGAGTATGGTGTACTATCATTCAGGTTTCGCTAATCCTCCCCAAATCCTGGCAGCGCACTGCTTTCATTGATTGTGTCTTTAATCTCTTTCCATCTAGAGCAGCTCCTCAGTCTTTCTTTGTCTTTCATGACTTTGACATTTTTGAAGAGCCCCTTGTTTTGTAAAAGGCCCGTCCACTTGGGATTGTCTGATGGGTCCTCAAACCACAGAGGTGACGTCTTGTTCTCGGTTCACACATTGGGAGGCACATCTCTATCTGTCCCTTCATCAGCAATGACTTGGTACCTTGATTAAAGGCGCCTCCACTGTAAAGCTTTCTCTACTGTGAAATTATATTTTCCTCCCTTGTAATTAGTGAATGTCTTGTGGGGAGGTCCTTGGAGACCACATGAGTGTCCTGGTAGTCCTCAACCTTGTCACCCACTGCTGGTATCAGCCCCAGTCCTTCTTGCTCCTTGCCCTGGTCCCAAGGATGTGAGCTGGGGCCCTGGGGTGCTAGCAGGCAGGGAGACAGACTCAGAGCATGCTCGAGACTTGCCCAGGCACATGGAGCGGAGTAGATCTCAGGTTCTCAGACACCTTCTCTAGAGCTCACTCTGCTCCCTCCCCACCCTGCACCTTCCCCCTCACCCTGGGTGGGTGTGAAGCTCACGGCAGCTGACCGAGCTGCCACTTACCAGGCCCTTGCTCTGTGCAGGGGGCCCCTGCTCTGTGCGGGCGGGGGGCCCCCTGCCATGCCTGATCCTAACAGCCCCAGGGGGCAGGGGTCACTGTAACTTCCGATGACTTGGGGATAGAGGGGTGGCCTCAGGGCCTCATGCCATCCACACCTGAGGGATGACTGCCACAGTGCCAGGCCCACCCACTAGCCACCTTGGGAGAAAGCTGGGCCCCTGGCCCCTCTTGAAGCCGCCTGGGTGTGGCAGAGAACCTGGGAGCAGGCAGGCTGGTGGTGGGGCAGGCCCGGGCCTGGCTGACAGGGCTGCCCGGCCCAGGGCCTTCCCTCTGTCTCCCTCCCTGCCTTGTTCTTGGTCCTTTTTTTCTCTCTCTCCTCTTCCTGGTTGCTCCTGTCCTCTGTCCCTCTTCTGTTCAGTCTTTGTCCTCACCCACTACGTGGTTTATTTTTGCTCCTGGCTAGGAGCCTGGCTGGGAAGCAGTGAGGGGCTCAGGCTGGACCTGCAGTGTTGTCTTCCAAAGAGAGAACAGCCTTCACACCCCCTAGCCCTCTGACCCCCTCCATCCCGCCCCGGGCTGCTGCAGGGGCCCAGGACCGATGCAGGCCTGGCTGCCCGGTGGTGCCGTGACCAGCTCCAGCCCTTCCTAGCTGCCAGGGGTCCCACCCTCCCCACCCAAGGTGCCACTCTCAGTCCTGGCTCTGGAACAGGGCTTCTGCATGGGCCTGGCTGGGGCCCGGGCATGAGGCGTCTTGTTTGCCTGCTGTCAGAGGGCGGGGCCAGCAGCACTGTGAGGCCAAGGACAGGATGGCAAGGTAGTGCTGCTCGGGCCCGGTGCCATGGTGTAGCTGTGCTATCCTGCAGAGAAGCACAAACCCTGCCTCACGCCAGGTCCTCGGGCCACTCACCTGTGAGTGGGTTAGAAACGTCTCTGAGTCTCAGATTCTGCTCCGTCAAAGGGGAATGACCCCCCAGCCCCCAGGGCTATGGCAAGAAGCTGTGGAGACTGTGCAGCTGTGAGAAAGGAAGCTCGGGGGCCTGGCGTGGCTGCTCATTACAGCAGAGGCTAAGCCTCCAGACCCTACATACCTCACCTGTGAAATATTAATTTCATATTCATATCCTCTCATACTAATGTGAGAATCCAGGGGAACATCTAGAAATCGACAATGATGCAGATAAACCTGCCTGTTGCAACACAGACTATGTCCCAGTTCCAAAGGCATGATTTTACCTTGTTGCTGGGATGTGTGTTATCGGGGGACCGAGCCAGGCCGCGAGTCTCCCAGTGCCAGGCCAGGGGCCAGTCAGCACCCAGCAAAGACAGAGCCCTTCCTGCTCAGAGCAGGCCCTGGGACAGGCAGTGCCGGGGACACAGCGCTCCCTGGGGAGAAGGAGATGGCTGCCTGGGGGCAACCCTGCACCTGAGGCTCCAGGGAGGACGGGAGGCTCCAGCTAACAGGAGGCAAGGGGCTGGCCAGCACAGCTGGGTGAGGAGGTGGCAGGTGGCAGGAAACAAAGCTGGGTGGGCACTTTTTCCACCTCTCACCCCCGACCTTGCCCCAGGCAGGGGTGCAGAAGAGCCAGCCCTCCTGCCTACGAAGGAAGGGCTGAGGCAGAGGACGGGGAGCGAACATGGTGGGGCCTTAGAGAGGGTAGGGCTGCCCAAAAGTCTATCCCACCACCTGAGGCAGCTCCTCTGTCCCCTCCCCCTGCAGATGGCTTCCCACCAGGCCTGACCCTCACAACTAGATGAGTCGGTCGACCTGAGGTAGTTCAGGTACTACAGGAGGAGCTTATAAGAGGGGCAGCTGCCACTTAGGAGAGCTTCAGGGAAGGCTTCCTGAAGGAGGTGGTGCTCGAGCTGAGTTTTGAAAGTTTCTAGAACAAGCCTGATGAAGAATGGAGAAGGACATTCCAGGCAGAGGGAACAGCATGTGCAAAATCAGGGAGGTGTGAGGTCGCACTCCATGCCCAGGGAAACTCCAGCAGCTCCACGGAGCAGACCCACTGGGACTAGCCAGATAAGGCAGAGAGCATTTCATCAAGAGTCAGGAGCCTGTCCGAGGCCTGGCTCCTGCACTGAGAGGCCATGGGGCCTGGAGTTAAGAGGTCGCTTCCTACCAGTAAGTGGTAATAGACCGGCCCACCCCAAGGCTCTGGGTGGCACTCATGCTCCTAGAAGTCACCTATGACAGACCCCAGGGCCTCAGCCTGGTGCCTTTGGCTTCACCAGCCCCTCTCCCCAACAGGGTGCCCCGCGGACCCATGGGCCTAGCACCTTTGACCTGCAGATGAAGTTCGTGTGTGGCCAGTGCTGGAGGAACGGACAGGTGGTGGAGCCTGACAAAGACCTCAAGTACTGCAGCGCCAAGGCCCGGCATTGGTGAGCCAGGCGCCAGGCAGGGGCATGGGCGGGGCAGGGGCCCACCCAAGCACCGTAAGTGAGGGCACTGGGCTCTCCATAGAAATCGCACAGCCCGCTCTGCCCTGAGCCCTCCCCAAACTGCCCCTGCTGTGTTCTGCAGCTGGACCAAGGAGCGGCGGGTCCTTCTGGTGATGTCCAAGGCCAAGCGGAAATGGGTGTCGGTGAGGCCACTGCCATCCATTCGTAACTTTCCACAGCAATACGATGTGAGTGCCAGGGCTGGGGAACAGTGGGACCTTGGGGATGGGGGCCATGGTGTCCCGGGAGGGCTTGCCTGCTGGCTGGGGCAGTGACTCAGGTCAGTGGGTCTCAGCAGGCTCTCCCACACCCGCCCCACAGCTCTGCATCCATGCGCAGAACGGCCGCAAGTGCCAGTATGTGGGGAACTGCTCCTTCGCACACAGCCCGGAGGAGAGGGACATGTGGACATTCATGAAGGAGAACAAGAGTGAGTGGGCAGGGAGGGGCCTGATGGGGTCCCCCACTCATCGGCAGAGCCAAGAGCACCTGCTGAACCTGCTTTGCCACCCAGGCCCTGCCCGCTCTGGGTCTCCGGTTGACTGGGCAGCCCCAGGGGTCCTGTAGGGGCCATGGGACAGAGTGGATGGAGAGTCCCCTCTCACCAGGCACTCTGTCCCCTAATGCCCACCAGTCCTGGACATGCAGCAAACCTACGACATGTGGCTGAAGAGACATAACCCAGGGAAGCCGGGGGAAGGGACGCCCATCACTTCTCGGGAAGGGGAGAAGCAGATCCAGATGCCCACGGACTATGCCGACATCATGGTAACAGCCCCCACGCGCCTGGGGCCCTGGTCCGAGCCTGACCTGGAGGGCGGTCGGGAGGGGCCCACCCTCCCTGGGGGAAGTGGTCCTGGCAGGGGTGTGAGGAGCGGGCACCCACGGTGGCTGTGTCCCCAGATGGGCTACCACTGCTGGCTCTGCGGCAAGAACAGTAACAGCAAGAAGCAGTGGCAGCAGCACATCCAGTCCGAGAAGCACAAGGAGAAGGTCTTCACGTCCGACAGCGACGCCAGTGGCTGGGCCTACCGCTTCCCCATGGGCGAGTTCCGGCTCTGCGACAGGTGCCCTTGGGGAGGGCAGGGCTGGGCTGGGCACGGTGCATGGTGAAGGTGGAGGCCGTGGTGGGCTCTGGCTCTGCTTGGCCTGGGGATAGAATACACCGGTGATGTGTCCAGAAACAGCTGCTCTTGGATGCGAGAGCCGGGCGGGGCAGGGATGGGACTGGAGGTGCGGACCCCGGCTCTGCAGTCCTGGGTCAGAGCCTTGAGAAGGCCGGGCTGGGCCCACTCTCACCAGGACTGAAAATGCACCAGGAAAGGCTTGGCCTGTGGGAGGTGGAGCGGGGCCCCCACTCCAGCAGCCGTGCGGGAAGGAGCACGGGGCTTGGGCAGTGAGCCTCCTGCCGCCCACAGGCTCCAGAAGGGCAAGGCCTGCCCGGACGGGGACAAGTGCCGCTGCGCCCACGGGCAGGAGGAGCTCAATGAGTGGCTGGACCGGCGGGAGGTGCTGAAGCAGAAGCTGGCCAAGGCCCGCAAGGACATGCTGCTGTGCCCGCGGGACGACGACTTTGGCAAATACAACTTCCTGCTGCAAGAGGACGGGAATGCCACCGGTGCCACCCTAGAAGCCCCTGCTGCTGCCACCGTCACCGGGGAGTAGGCCAGGTCTTGGCCGTGGGTGGAGTCCTAGGATCCGGGGACAGGGGTGGGGATAGAAGGCCTGATAGGAGGGCCAGGGCAGGCCAGGGCTGGGGGTGGGGGGGCCCCTCATCACGCAGCCCCTGGCCCCCCCCGGCCCTGTCCATCCTCTCTCCCCCGCCCCCTCCACCAGTGCATACCCAGGTGCACGAGCTGCAGCCCCACGTGTCCCAGGGTCTTCGTCCTGCGGAAACCCTGGGCAGATCCTCCCACCCTCGGCTCTCCCAATTGCGGAGGGAGGGGCCCGACTGACCCCTCCAGCTCCAGCCTACAGCTTTAACTTCTGTCTGCTCCTAAAGGGGACACCCAACGCTCAGGGCTGGGAGCCTGGGGTCCCCACTTGAAGTTGCAGCAGGAGCATCCTTCTCCCCGCCCGCTCTCACCCAACCCACACCTCCTTGAGGGCAGATCAGGACACAGCAGAGGGCAGGAGGCCCCAGCTAGCTTTAAAATTCAGCCCCAGGATAGGACTGGGGCCATTGTACAGGTCACTTACCCTGTGGGGCCTCAGTTTCCCCTCTGGTTGGAAGAGTGAGAGGGGCTGAGCTGCATGATTTCTGGAGCCTGAGTGAGGAGCCTGGCTCCCTGGTGAGGCCACCAGCCCAGCTGCTCTCCCCTGTGGGCCACTGAATGTAGATTGTAGATCGTCAGAGCCTTCAGAGATGACCCATCCAAGCCCTGGTCTGCAGATAGGAGAACTGAGGAGTGGCCTGTCCGGCATCCCCAGCCCACGGCATGGTGGAGCTGGGGTGCAGGCTGTGGCCCAGGACTCAGGGCCGGTTACTGGCTGGAGCCTCCAGGCTCTCGTAGGGATGTAACGGTCTCTGAATCAGTGTGCAGCTGGGTCCCAGGCAGCACCGCTGGGGGACTTGTCGTGTTAGCACCTGCAGAGGGACAGTCCCCTCCTGAGCATGGTCGTAAGGAGTGCTTCCTCTTGGCTGCTCGAGGAGGTGGTGATGGGCAGGGCACCCAGGGCTCGGGTTCTGCACAGGGACCGGGGACTAGGGGGTAGTGGGAGGGTGGGTGGTCGGGGGATGTGGAGAAAAAGGAGACTTGACCCTGGGCAGCATGGGCCACTCCGGGATCAGACACCACCCCTCTTCTTAGAGACTCAGCAGAGTCCTTTCCCTTCTCCCTAGACCCAAACCAACAACTATGACCATCCAGCCCAGCCCCTGCCTGATCCCCGGGCCTGCCAGCTGCCTGGGACCCCAGCTGACCCCCAGCGCCTGCCCCCACCACCAAGCCCTCTCCCATCCCTCTTGTCAGACGTGTCTTCGTGCACCCCCTCCTCTCCATCCCACCCCTGTGGGCAGACCCAGCCTCCCCTGGTTCCCTAGACATTCCAGAATGCCCCACACCATTGGCACAAGGAGTGGGGACCCCCGGAAGGAATCAAGGACTGAAGCTGGAGTCAGTGTAGGGGCGGGTGAGACAGAGAGAAAGGAATACCCTTTATTTCTCCTCAAGCAAGAAGTGAGAGCTCTGATAGGAAGACGGGCACCCCAGGCCGCAGAGAACCCTGTTCCTCTCGCTGCCACTGCCCAACCTTCTCCTGATAAACCGTGGCATGCATCCTTTCTGCTCCCTGCCCCTCCCCCAGCAGGCGGGCAGTGGCGCTGCTGGAGGGGAGGGGGACCCGAGGTGGGGGCCGTGGCCGTGAACGTTGATGACTCTTGTTTTCCCTGATCCGTGCTGTTGCAGTCTGTCGTCACCAGCCTTGTTTTTAGTGTGTATATATGTTGCCCCCGTGATGCATATATACACAGGTATTAAATATATCGCTCTATATAATATTATATATGTGTGTGGTATCCAAGGAATCACTTCTAGTGAGGGCTAAAGATAAAGATTTGGCCAGAAAATGCAGCCATCCTGGAATAATGAGGAGGATTTTCAGGGCCATCAGGCCCTTTGTGAGGACTGAGGGACTGGAGCCAGGAGTCTGAGGTGGTGTGGGCAGAAGCGGCCCCTGCCGGGCCCCCATCTGCCTAACAGCTTTCATATCACCCTAACCTAGTGGGGAGAGAGCGAGAGTGCTCAGGGAAAGAAGGTAGGTGTTTGTCTTCCACCCAAAGGAATAGGATTAGAATCCAGATTTCTCTTCTCCAACGTACAATCCATGCAGGGGCCCTTGGATCCGGGGCTCCCTGGCCTGGCCAGAGCTGGATCCCCCACAGGGCTGGGGGAGAGGGAAAGGAAGGCTGGTGGGGGACGACACTTTGAATGATGAGTATGATTCCTTCAGTTGTGACCCTGACTGGGGAGGCTCAGAGAATTGAGTCGGGCCTGTGCTCCCCACCAACAGGCAGGGATGAGATATCACGGTGAATATGGTGAAGGGGGACAGGCGTCCCGATGGAGTGTCACTTTGGGGTGGAGCAAAGAGAGATGCTGCATTTCTCAGATGGGCAGTAATCAATTTAATGGTCCTTTAAAAATGTCTGTGTATTAAAAACTTAAGAATACCACACTTTAATATTAAATATTCATAAGGTCTAGTATCTTGATAATAATGTAGATGTTTTAATAACAATTTTTGTCCTTCTTAAAATAAAACAAAAGAAACTGGCTTCTTTTAGCCTTTGTTCTAGAAAATAAACGTGTGCACTTTGACCTCTGTCCCTGAGGTGTCACTCCTGTACCTCCCCGCCTGGCACTTGTGCCCGGGCTGCTCTTTACTCATGAGGCAGTGCTGGTTGGCACCGGGCATGCCATAAGGCAGACATTTGGAGGGGTGAGGGGCAGAAGGTCTGTGTCCCTGTGTAAACAGGGCAGCCCAGCTGACCCCAGCGCAGGCAGCGCCTTGGCTGGCAGGGTCGAGCTGTGCTCTGCACATGTGGCCCCAGTGGCCACCCTCCATTGGCTCTTCCGCAGCCTGTCTGCTCGCTGCCCTCCTCG